AGGGCCCTGAGTGCCCACACTCGGCACATCACAGCACTCGGCCATCAGCCCGGCTGCACTTGCCGCAGGCTGCCATCCGGGGGGGGAGGGAGAGTCAATCGGGGGGCTGCAGGAGAGCTTCCACCCCGAGGAGCCCGCACTAGACCAAGCGGGTGCCCGCTTCTTGCGGACCTGGGCAGGCTCCCGGTAGCCGCCAGCCTGGTCCCGGGAAGAGGTGGAGGGCTGGGGGGCAGCGGGTGGCTGGTTCGGGCCGTGCCAGGTGCAAGGTCTGCTGGCTGGGTGCTGGCAGGCTTGCACTGGCACGGGCACCGTAGCCAGCCCGTGCCCCTTTAAGGGGTCCGGGGCCGGGAGGGGGGCAGACGAGTTTCCCTGGTGTTGGCCAGAGAGGCCACCAGGGAAACCTGGGGAGGGCTAGCCTCCCAGTAGTTCGAATTAAGGGGTTACACACCCCTTAATTTGAACTAGCTAGTTCGAACTAGGCTTAATCCTCATAAAATGAGTTTTTCCTAGTTCGAACTAAGCGCTCCGTTAGTTCGAACTAACTTTGTAGTGTAGACATACCCAGAGAGACTATAAAAACATCCTGGTTTGCTTTCAATTTAGTTAAGAATATTTTCTTTGGAAGAGAAATAGGTTTGGGTATAGCTACAAAACTCCAAGATACTGTCTGAAAAACACGTTCACAATACTGATCAGCTGAGTGCATGGTTTTTTTATTGCAAGACAGGAGAAGTTATAATCTGACAACTCCCCTTAAGTGAGCAAGACGGGTTGCTGTCCATCTGAGCAAGTAAGACATGGAAAATTCAGGTTAAGAAACTTACAGTAAAAGATACTTGTGAATTCAGTTGTATCTTGATTTACAGTGACATGTAAACTAGGGATGTAATAGTAACCGTAATAGTTGTACTCAGGCTCCCAGCCCTGCTCCCAGGGAGCTGGCTGCCATCCCATACTGCTAGTTCTGCAGCACAGGGCAGCAGCCAGCAGCACAGGGTAGTAGCTAGCTCCCTGGGAGCAGGGCTGGGAGCTGGCTTAAAAGCTAGCTCCCCAGGAGCAGGGCTGCAGGTGGGAGCTGATATTCACCAAGAGCCGGCTTAAAAGCTAGCTTCCAACATGCACCAGCTCCCAGGGGAGCCAGCTGCCACCCCATGCTGCAGGCTCTGCAGTAGGAAGCTTATACTGTGTAACCACTGAAATTAATGGTTTTTTAATTGCTTTAATGTAAACCAGTCTTTAAGGAAGAAATTCAGCTTGGTGCAGAAAGCCAAGGCACCACTTATACACCATTTAATTTGGTGGGGGCTTTACATGTGACTTGTGCTGGCTCTTTCCTTAGGAAGGAACTGAAGGACTAGAGGCCCATTCACTTCCCTCCATCCCAAATATGGTACCTGAGGGAGCTGAACCCATGAATTCCTGCATCAGAATTGGGCACCACAGGGCTAAATCAACCGGGCATCTGCCACAGGGTAAAAGAACCGATTCCTCTACAGCTTTTCTTAAAGGCAACTGCTACTTCACAAACCCTTTCTCCCACCCAGCCAAAGCCCATTAACAGATTACAGCGTGGGGTAGTTCATATGAGCTTTGGATAGGAGGGAATTGCATCCTGCCCTCCTTATCCAGAAGTATAAAGAGTTAAATAGTATAAAAATGGCCTTGGTAAGAACGAAGAGGACCTGGGGTGAGGGGAGCGGAGGAAGCAGACCCATTGCCAGGTAACAGATGACAAGCTAAAGGCAAAGGCCATGCTGTTTGCCAAGAATGGGGGCTGCTGTTACCTGTCAGATTCTCAATGGCACCTAACTCCTATTGATTTCAATGGGAGTTACACACCTAAATACCTTTGAGGATCTAGGCCAAAGGGCCCAATTCTGTCATGCTTGGTCATGTTGACTAAGGCCACACTATGCAAGTATAGTTCCAGCGGTGTCATTTACCTCTACATGCCTCTGTCTCTCATGTAAGAATAGGAGAAATAAACCCACTGAAATTTTAAAGCATTTACAAGGGTGAAGGCGACAGAATTGGGCCCTTATTATTTTCAATGAATCTGAATTTAGGTGATGGGTCTGACTGAAAAATGCATTATAAATGCTTAGGCTGTCAGCACTCTGGAATAATCATATGCCAAAATAAACACAGAAACTCTGCCTGCTTGTTCATGAATTGGAAATTAATCTGCCTGTTTCCCTGCCTTCTGGGCCTTATAAATTAAGGCATTCCATTTGCAATTCAAATAAAAAAATATATTAAAATTCCTTACTAATAGCTAGAGCTAGGTGAATATGAGAGCAATATTCATTTCAATAAAACTCCACACCTGCTTTCACTGGATTTGTGACACTTATTTGCCATGTACACATAACAGTTTTTAAAGTAAGATTGCAGAAAAAGGTCTCATGAGCAAACAAATAAGTCCCCATGGCTATCTGAGCAGCTCTTCTATTTCTCAGGGAGCAGAACCCCCACCATGTGGCTTAGGAGACTAGTTACACACCGCATAGTGAAGGGTCTACAATTAATGTCTGTAAAAAAAGGAAATAAAAATCTGACTGCAGAATTTAATAGGAAAGCCAGCTAAAGTTGCCTAATTTGTCAAATTATTCACTAATAGTTTGTCTAGCTCTACCGGCACCTCAGATTACAATCTGAAATATTTAAAATGAATTTCTTACCATTCAAATTGTTTCAAAAGTCTTTTACACAGCAAAATTAGACTGACTGTCCCCCTCTCTCTCAGCACAATACTTTTTGAGTTTCCAACAGGAAGGGAAAATTATATTTACACAACACACACACAGACTCTCCTCTCTCTCTTTGGCTTTAACTACTATGATTTAGTCCCTTTAAATGTGCTATTTGATTTCACATCCTGAGACTGCAAGAGCCTTGCAATGGATTTTAGAAAGGAAAAAGGACACAAGTTTTCATGGGCACCTATGATATATGGAAGATGAACAGAGAATGGATGGACCCTGCCCCAGCTTTGAAATGATCAAACAGAACAGATCCACTAATACATCTAGCGCCCTAGAAAAATCTCAGTATTTATATGCATATTCCCAGCTCAATATGGTGTTCTGACACTTACTTTTTTCTTGGTTCGATGGGTTCAGTTTCCATTGCACACAATAGACATAGCCCTACAAATCAAAACAAAAATACTGGCATTGGCCTATAATGTGTGTCATTTAAACATGTTACATTCATTCCCAAATATACCTCCCAATCACGAATGAGAGGACAGTGACAATTTTAGAAGGAACCATGGGTTTTGCTCTCCTTTGTAATTAAGTCTTGGCCCATGGTGGGGTTTCCCCCACGAGTACATTAATTTGTGACTTTTCCATCTAGTCATTATGCTTGCAACAGGAATATTGTGGTGATAATAAAAGTTCTTTCTCTTTTCTTTTTATTAACCTGGTATTGGTTAATTTTTGTGTCCTGGTTTTACTTTAGGGGCTGAGATTTCTGAAGTGACTGGTTTTCTTATCATTACTTGGGTGGTGGCAGCGGATTTTTATCCCAAAATCTAGGTTAAGATTTTGGGGGGAAGTTTTATACCAAAGCCTGGAAAGAGAAGGTTTTGGGGTACTTTTGCAGGCCCCTGCTTCTGCATTTATCATGACAGAGTGGGGAAAAAGCCTTGACATCAACAATTCTGAGAAAGTTTAAAATGAAAGTAAACTGTGCTTCCTGCTATAATGAGTTTTCACACCATCAGAAAAGTAACCCATTTGCTCAGGATGATGGTGACTGAAAACAGCAATGAACGGAGAAACACCATTCTACGCAGTGCCTTTCAAAAGCAGATCTGGCCATTTTCCTTTAAAGAGTCTCCCTCTTGCTGAAGGGTCAAGCCTAGAGCTTTTAACCTGTTCCATTGCATTTTACACCGACTGGCTGTGTCTACACTGGGCCATTTATTCCGGAAAAGCAGTGACAATTTACTGTAAGAAATCAGCTGCTTTTCTGGAAAAACTATGCTGCTTCCGCTCGGGCAAAAGTCCTTTTCCCAGAAAACTGTTCCGGAAAAGGGCCAGTGTAGACAGCACAGTACTCTTTTCTGCAAAAAAGCCCCAATCACGAAAATGACGATTGGGGCTTTTTTCCGGAAAAGCGCGTCTACATTGGCCACGGACGCTTTTCCGAAAAAAGGGCTTTTCCGGAAAAGCATCCTGCCAATGTAGACGCTCTTTTGCCGGAAATACTAATAACGGAAAACTGTTCCGTTTTAAGCATTTCCAGAAAAAGGTGCCAGTGTAGACACAGCCACTCTGTACATGTAAGGAACTACAGGTAGTCCCCGGGTTACATACAAGATAGGGACTGTAGGTTTGTTCTTAAGTTGAATCTGTATGTAAGTCGGAACTGGCGTCCAGATTCAGCCGCTGCTGAAACTGACCGCCAGTTCTGACTTA